AAGTGCAGCTTTGTATACATGTCTCTATACGAAAGACATCGGCCGCTTATGCGGTCATGTCATATAAATTTGGTCGTCTTCTTGGTCATCTTTTTAGTTGTCTGTTTGATTCCCTTTCTAGGTGTCTTTCTAGACATCTTTTTTTTCTAGATATCTTGCCCCCCTTTCAAGCTTTCTAGATAGAGCGCGGAAAAAAGCGGCAAGAGGCTTGAATTTGTGAAACGGAGATTTCCATGTATAAGCTTCGATATCTCAGAAACAATGTTATACAGTGTATTTGGTTGCTAATTTACATGTTTATTTCGCCAAGAATGCCTGGAAAGCTTTGTGCTCGATCACGACATTTCCAACTGCTCGCAACCTCTTGCGGCCTTCTTTCTGCTTCTCGAGCAGCTTTCGTCGTCGACTTACATCACTAGCATGCAATTTTGCCAGCACATCTTTTCGGTAAGGCTTGATGGTCTCACGAGCAATGATTTTCTTGCCAACAGCAGCTTGGATGATGATCTCGAAAAGCTGCCGGTCAACATGCTCCTTGAATTTGGTTACCCAAATTCTGCCTTGTCGGCTCACCTGGCTCGAGTGCATAATCCGCGTTACAGCGTCCACTGGCTCCCTGTTTACCAAGAGTTGTAGCCTGACAATGTTGCCGGCTCGCCATGCAGATTCTTCGTAGTCCAGGCTGGCATAGCCCTTGGTACCTCCTTTCAATTTTCCAAAGAAATCATCAACCAAATGGGCCAGGGGCAGCTCGTACTTCATGATGACCTGAGTCGCTGTGAAGTATTCAATGCTTTGTTGTTCACCGCGGTTGGCTTCGCAGAGCTCAATCACCTTTCCCAAGTACTCTTCTGGGAATGTTAGAGTGACCAAAACATACGGCTCTTGAACCTCGGCAACTTTGAGTCGTACGCTATCATCATCGGGAAATTTGGCGGGGTTGGTGATAATCTCTTCGGCGCCACCTTTCCACACGACCTTGACTGGTACGGAGGGTGGTGTGATGATGATACTGGCGCCATGCTCCTGTCGTAGACGGTCTTCAAACACGGAGCAGTGAAGGGTTCCCAAGAAGCCCATACGGAAACCGGCGCCTAAGGCCTCAGAGGACTCTTTCTGTACTGTGATGCTTCGATCGTTCAAGACCAGCTGGTTGATGCTGTCCTCCAGGTGCTCAAAGAGATCCGCATTCACCGGGTATACAGCCACAAAGACCATTGATTTGGGCTCTTCAAATCCAGGCAAAGGCTCGACGATCTTTTCATAACCGACTCTTGTAAAGGTATCGCCAATCTTGGCCTCCTTACTCCGCTTCATGCCCGGGTTGAAGTAGATGTACCCAACCTGACCTGCACGGAGAACGGTTTGCGCGGTCTCAGTCGGATACATGATGCCGACTTCACCGACGAAGTATTTGAGGCCGGTAACGAAGGATATAAGCTGCTGACCTGCACGCACCTCACCGTCGAAAACACGGACCAGCAGGATCACGCCCTTGTAGGAGTCGTACCAGGAATCCACGAGGAGCATGCGAAGTGGTTTCTTAGAATCGCCGATAGGTCTAGCATACAGTCAGTAAAAAGACACTTTAGGAAGCTACCGGGTAAACATACGCAGGGATCTTCTCCACCACCGTCGGTAGCACAGCCGGAACATTCAATCCAGTCTTTGCCGAGACCATCACCGCATTTTCTGTATCAATCTCGAATGTGCTTCGTATCTGCTCCAGAGCCCGCTCTGGATCCGATGAGGGCAGATCGACCTTGTTGAGAATAGGAATCAACTCGAGGCCTTGCGCAAAGGCCAAGTAGAAATTGGCGACTGTCTGCGCCTGAACACCCTGACTGGCGTCAACCAAGAGGATTGCTCCACCGCAACTGGCATAACTTCGCGACACCTCAGCACGGAAGTCCACATGGCCAGGTGTATCGACTAAATGTAGCAAATAGTCCTCTCCTTTATGGTTGTAGATCATAGTACACGTCTGTGCTTTGACCGTAATTCCTCGCTCTCGCTCGACATCGAGTTTATCCAAAACTTGTTTGTTCTTGCCCGCTTCAATTGTACCCGTTAATTCGAGTAAACGGTCGGAAAGTGTGCTCTTGCCGTGATCAACGTGTGCAACGATGCAGAAATTGCGATAACGTTCGATTGGGATTGCGGCGATTCTCTTCTCAAGGTTGACGTCCAGTTTTATGGGTGTCGTTTTCGAACGACCATAGTAGATCGTAGTAGTAGAGAAACTCCTTTTATAACTATACGCAGAAAAGACAGTTGGTCGGAGGCTCGCGGCCTGGCATCTCGGCGCTGCGCTCAGCCATCGGCCTAACTGCAGACATCCTCGCATCGGGACTTCTGCGGTGGCATAGGAGGGGCTGATGTTATGCAAGCGTCAAATCGAAGTGTATCCGCGGGACAATCGATTAGCGCTCCAGTGCTGGTTGGTCTCGTCACGATTTGCGGAGAAAAAACGGACGCGCGGGCGGTGACTGTTTATTGCTGCGGTGACCACTCGACATAAACAAAGCTCTACCTTTCTTTCACCTTCAAAGTCTACATCTACAAGCTCATCATGCCGGAAACCAAGGAGAAATCAAAGGTGCACAAGCTGTCAATCAAAGGTTTGCACCCATCGTCTACTTACGTAGTTCTCGTGGTTGTACAAAGCTTACAAGATAACAGGATCGGCCAAGCTTGTCTCCGAATTCGTGAGTCGCCTTTGTGGTTGCGTCAATGGATTTTGAGCACTAACAGTCTCAGTTTGAATATTCGATTAATTCAATCCTGTAAGTTGCTAATCGTACCCAGTTCAAGACACTGGCTGATCGCATTGGGTATTCAGCTTCCAACGAGGAGTCTATCCCCCCGAGGATTTCACAACGTAAGGATGCCCTCTCAACTTTGCCCGCTACAGTGAAGCAAACTAATTGGAAATAGGATAAAAAAATATGGCCTCAATATGCTGGGTTCGTGAACCGTGTTCTTCTTAATCGATGTCGACAACCCTAATCTCATAGCAGTTTCGGCCGACGACCAGGTCAAAGCCTACATCAAGAAGATCATGTCCCAGTTGAAGGAATGGATGCAAGCAGGAAAGATCTCGAAGCTTGTGGTAGTTATCACGAGCAAGGAGACCGGCGAACATGTGGAGAGATGGCAATTCGATGTATGCATTCGACACTCCCATCCGAGTCCGTCGCTAACTATAACGTGATGAAATAGGTCGAAATCTTTGGCAAGCAATCCAAGAGCAAGAGCTCACAGAAAGCCAACGACAAGGAGAACAGTACACCGGGGTAAGTTTGTCCACTGTGAGCTTATCTTGATCATTCCACTAATCCAACACTTCGTGTCTTGAAGAGATGCAAAACCCGCCGAACCTATCGAGAAGACAGAAAAGCAAATCCAGGAGGAGATCCAAGCCATCTTCCGCCAAATCACCGCCTCTGTCACCTTCCTCCCCGTCCTTGATGGCGACTGCACCTTCAATGTACTTGTCTATGCCGACGCCGATTCAGATGTGCCCGTAGAATGGGGCGACAGTGATGCCAAGGAAATTAAGAACGCAGAGAAGGTCCAACTGAGGAGCTTCAGCACAAACAATCACCGAGTTGGGACTCTAGTCAGCTACCGGCTAGCGGATTGAACTCTCGGTGGCATATTATGATCAAATACGAAGGTTACTATGGATTGGCGTTTCGGGAAAGGATCAAGGACTTCTTCCACTTATCATACCAGAAGTCTTGATATTTGTTCTCAATCAAAATCAAGGCCTCTTGGATGTATCATGACTAGTATAAGACCAAGGCAAGCTCTCTCGCTTCGGGAACCACTTATTGCAATGATCACCCCCATCATAGCGGATCAGATGCAACACCACCTTTTCCAGTCCCAGATGGGAGAATATATCATTTTCCATTCCAGGGGACCAGCCTCGTTTTACCCTTTTGCCTACCAGATCCGGGTTCACTCCGTAAAGATCTTCTCTCCAAAGCCCAATCCCATTCATAGCCTCGCCTCGAGTCAAGCTCTCTGCTGGAGTGATTTCCTCTGGTGGATTGATACCTATCACAGCAACTTTATGCGCATGATCTTCTTGTTCCAGACAAACTGGGACGAGTCCCACGGCTGGAAAGTGGCACTGCATGAATCGAGCGCGTTTAAACTCGTGCGTCACAACTGTGACTCTCTGTGGATAAACACATGTGTAAACTCGGAACTGTATTAGGGAGAATAATAGGTTTTGGTATGAATCTGTGGCGTTGGTTTCTGCGATGACTCTTGATCGGTCAATTGAGGAGATAGTGAAGTCTTGGAAGTAGTCGTTGTCTCTCGCCAGATTCTAGGTGTTGCTATAAGTGAGCTTTCTGGGTGGTTGGTTTTAGGGAATTCGGGCGCCTTACAAGGTAAGATTGACCTTCACCGAGCTCAGTTCTAGGCTTTTTGGTAGGCCCTCTATACGATGGGTCAACAAGAAGGAATTGAAAAGTATATGATGAAAGTCTCTTACCCAGAAAACACAAGCAGGCCACGAGGGTCTTCTGCTAGAGCTTTCAATCCGGCTTTGACATGATCGATGAATGTGGGTGTTTCCCCCTTTTGGAAGGGCTCAATCAGCCTGCTCGATGCATCAGGTATTGTCTTCCTATAAAGGGCTTATTCCGGTCCCACTAACCACTCGTCTTCTGAGGCTCCAAGATGTGAACCTCCGGTGTAAATGGCATGACAGCAAACAATAATGAGGTGGTTGCATATAGCAAAGTCGGCATCTGGGTTGGGAACCATATTGGTGGATTTTGGTAGATCAAGCGAATGGCTTGGGGTGTAACAAAATGTAAAAAAATATAATTGATGCTAGTAAATTACGGGCAATTATTGAGAATTATATTGGTGAGCAACTTCACCCAAAGTTACATATTTTGATAGACGAAAAGAAGGGCGGTAAAGGATGCTGACCCCCCAATTATCTGATTCTCCAAGACATCAACCTTCACATCCCATCAGTGGATGAATTCCAATGCTATCATCCCAAGTCTCCTACGGTGTATGTTCTTTTTCTCTCTATATGCATTTTGCCATTCCAGACTATGTGGTATGAGCCCCCAAGCGGTCAGCACTTTGTCTTCCTCCGTTGTTAAGTCTAACCAAGCAAGTAAGTCCTGCCGACTTTCGGGCTTCTTCTTTTTCGAGATCGGAGTAGATTCCAAGTCGGATGGACCTATCGGTCTGATCCATTGTTGACCAATCTTCTCTTCAATGCCTACATGCACGGTAAGGGGTTTCTTTCCCTCTAACTCAGGCCAATCCACATACTCCTCGGGGTAGGTAGATACTGTGGCCTTGAGGTTTGAACTAACCCAGCAGCTATTTTCTTGGACTTCGTGGCCCCAGTGACTTCGAATGGATTCCCATATTTGGGAGTCTTCACAGCCAATTCTGTGAGCCGTCAGGACTGTGGAAACGAGAATCACCACCACTGAGACAATTTGCGTGTACAACGCCGCCATTCCGATACTAATGACATGCACCGCAAAAGCTGCCCAGCCTATCCATTGGCACGCCTGGTATATGTATCGGTTCGGTGGCTGGGGATTGGTTGCAAATGCCCATCTCGGTAGATACGCGGGGACTGCAAGAGTGACAACCTTTGAGTCCTCTGTCAACACAATCACCTTGGCGATTTTGTTTGGGTCTTGAGGTTCAATAGGTATTTTGGCCCCCTCCATAGCCTGACCCTTCTGGCGACGGCTCTCGAGTCTCTCCATTGACTCGTCATACTCGGCTCTCTTAGCCGGGTAACCTCGGAGTGCTTCCTGTGCTTCATGGATGTTCGCATCGATGCCGGCCTGGTTTTGTGCTACCATTATACACCGCACTGCCACTGAAATGACCATGGCTATCACATTGGCGAATCCCCACCAGTCCGCGGCTAACACAGTCAGGGCGATGAGCATCCCGTGCACCGGCAACCCGACGAGCAAGAAGCCGATGATGAACTCTCTCCATCTGTGCGGCCGCTCCGTGACGTGCCATGTGACAATACTCCGGACTTGTTTGAAGTCCTGTGTCTGGAGCCATCGCGAAAACCAGCCGGCAAGCTCGGTAGTCATGATCCCCGCTGATATGTTGTAGAGAACGAATCCGGGTTTCTTCGTGGTGAATCGGTTTCCGGCTATCACAAAGGCACCCAATAATGGCAGGTATTTGAGGTATATGCTCGGCACGAGTCGCCCGATACTGCGGTCCATCTCCTCCGCTCCGAGGAGCGTGACGAGACCGAGGGCATCGATCTTGAGTCCCGTTCCACGACCCCAAGAGTTGAGGCTCTCACTCCAGGGATACATAGCATGAAAAGTTATGAAGTATTATGGTATGAAGATGGCTCGATTAAGGATGCTGCTCATGATCCAAAAAGAGGTTATTGATATGGCTACCATTCCTACGGTTAAAGTTTTGGCCCCCCTATGCCACCCTGTAACTGCGGCTGAAAAGGAAAAAAGATGACAGGGGTCACTCATAACACAACCAAATCTAAATTACTCCGTGCCTCGTCAGGTCACCAGGGCATGATGCCCCCTCCCCATTTGATTGCGATTGCGAATACGAACCTCTTTGGGGGTCAAAACTCTGCAATCTGCTGCTTAACTACTTTGGGAAATGAGGACTTGTCCATATGGGCACCTAGGTGCTTACTTTCGGTTTATTTGTCAGCTTGGCAAGAGGATCTATCCCACGTCTAAAAAAGCAAAATGTTACATTGCGCACTGGCAATTGGCCAGTTTCAACGCCAATGCAATGCTTACGACTCGCCAAGGCTCTTGACACTGCGAAACTAGCGCCATGAATACAGTCTGACATCCTTTATCGTTTGCGCCTCCCTAGAGATGCATAAAATGTTTTATCGTAGGCATGTATTTCGATTCGGGCTGTATTGAGGCATTTTTAACCAATCAAATCCATACATCCCATCCCAATTGAGCCTCAAGACTGTCCATCTATAGGGGTGGAAATGAGGTCCATAAATACGAGACCGTATTCTAGGAATGAAGAGATAAGACAGCTGTACTTTCTATTTCTCTTAATACCCTCCAGTATCAATATCTTTCAAAGGCTGGACGAATGACCTGATACACAATCTTGTCCCCGAGAATCCCTACTTCTCCCTCTAAGATCGAGTCTCCATTGCTAAAAATGGCTCGTTATTTTCCTTTCGGGCGGAAAAAGCCGATTGATACGGAGAAAGCAAAGGAGAATCTCATGAAGCGATATGATGGTAAACACCATCGATCGTCTGGAATGCGGTTCAAACGGCCTTCTGCCAACTTGGAAACAATCGAAAATCGCTTGCTGGAGCTGGAGGATGCTCACCATGGACACGGCAAGAAAACATATCTGAACCCTAATGGAGTCAAAGACCACGCAAAATATACCGACATGGATACATACTACAGCACAAACAAAGGGTATGCACGTCGACTTGTCGTGCAGGCGACTCCAGATGTCTATGAAGAGCCCGATTATCTCCCTCGTCACTGGGGGCGACGCCACATTCGTGGGAGAGTCCCATTCATCATCACCCTGGCCGAACTTTGTTTGAACCCGCTTGGTCTTCGCCGCTTTGACGGTGTTCGAGTCAAACAATACGAGGAGGAGGAGGATGACATGCCTCGCAGGCAGGGAAACTGGATATTGAAAACCATCATACAAACCCTGTGTTGGATCCCGTTGATGCTGCGCACCGTGGTAATATCAGCCCTGCACTGGATCATATCGATCCTGCTCACCTTGACACTATCTTGGATTATTCCAGTTGTGCTCTCTGTCGAGATTTGTACCTCCCCGTGGAGTGAGAATGACACAACTGAGCCCTACAAAAAGTATCAGAATGTTCACTGGCACTGGCCCAAACACGCAATGAACCTACTGGATCAATATCCCAAAAATGATCAACGGCAGTCAAAGATTGGCGGTCTTACGATTCCTACCCGCTTGGTGGTCAAAGACAGAACTACCAACCAGTGGGCTCCCCGGAAGACTGATGATCTTCGTGATGAAAAGACGGGCATGCTGCAACCCTATATTTTCCTGAGTTTTTCGCGGGCCAATTATCTTGGCAAATCAAAGGAAGAATTACGGAAGATGTTGTATCAAGTGGCTGAGCGCATGCTCCGGCACGAGAACGAGAGCCTTCAAAAAGACCCGCAAGACCCTCCGCTAGAAGCATTTTGGGTGGACGTCGATTGTGTTTCGAGCGATGAGAGTATACCAGACGGTGAGGTCGAATCAGAACGCACCAGAGATATCAACACGATTTGCGATGCAGTCCGCTGTGCGAAGCGAGTATATGTAGTCCTGCCCACTGAAAGTGCGAAGGACAAAGGAATATGGGGAGAACGGATATGGACATTTCCGGAAGTCCTCCTCGCTGCCAACAGAATCCGATACTGTTTCACCCATTCGACCTCTATGTCTTTGTCCACGCCGCATGCACTCACGTTGAATGACATGAAAATTAGCTTCTGGCGGCCCGAGTCAAACTCGAATAAAATCGAAGAAGACGCCATTGGCCTCCTCATCAATCATTATACCAACAGTCTTCAGCTGAGCGAGCTGCAGTTGTTCACTTTTGCTGTCCAAGCCATGGCGAAGCAGACAACTAGCGTCGACACCAAGGGGTACACGACCAGGGATATGGCCTACGCTGCGATGGGACTTTTGTCATATCGACTTACCCCCAATGATTCCGATACCGTCTTTCAAGCCATTGCTCGACTATCCATCGTGAACGATAGCAATCAACTGCTTGAGCGTCTCCTCTGTCTGTGGCCGTCCCCGAAAAGTCTCACAGTGGATGCATTGCCTGCATTGGCTCCAGCTGGCAGTGAGACGATTCTTCGCAATATCGCAGATCAAGATCAATACGGTACTCACCTTTGGGATATCAAACCGCTCTGTGATGTGGTTGGTGTTGGCAACGATTTACACGAGCCCACGGTCATCGTGGATCGCTGCCGGGGCATCCCCATCCGATGGAAGAACTTCCCGAGATTGAATTATGCAAAGGACCTGACGGGAATGCGTGCTTCTATCTCACAGAAAATCATGTATTTTGCTATCATTTACGCAGCGACTGGCTTTTCTCTCTTCTCGTCCGCTATTGCGCTTCTAGTTTCAACTATTCAGTTCCAATCAGAGCTAAAGCAACCGACAATTGATTTGATGCAAATTATTAGGCAAACAATTGTGCCTAATTACCTAGTGACTGTTGGTTTGTACTTCGGAGTCGCCTGGATCATCTCCTGGTTCAGTCCTTGGGCGGTACGGAAGCTCTGCAACGATAGCGGATGCTCCAACCATCTTGTCGGATTCGAAGGCACGATGCCATTACATGACCTTGAAAAAACCATCTATGGTAATTTCAATAACCGCCTGTCGTATACAGCCTCATCGACCGTCTTCTCTGGGAAACTACGGCGCGATGATATCCGAATGAGCGAGGAACCCGATGATAAGAACTATTGGAAGAATAGGTTCCAAGAACTGGGGCTCCCTAAAACGCACCGCATCTTCACTATCGTGGACACGGGTGATATGACTGTGTCTGTGATTTCCGCCGAGCGACCACCTGTCGTGGCCTTGATCTCCGGGCGGGAAGGTGGCATGCTCCGGGTATTGCTGTGCAGCTGGCGCTTTGAGAATAACTGTTTGTATCGTGAGGGCGTTGTTCGCATGCGCAGCTCGCTTGAAGAGCAGGCTACTCGTAACGACTGGTTGAAGATCAGCTTGGCGAGTCAGGGCGATGCCAACCGTACCCGGTTGGTCCACCTCAAAAAGAAGCAGTCTTCTGCCTCTTCTTCTTCTTGAGGTATATTCCTCTTATTTGGATATAAAAATAAAACCTAGACGACGGACCTATCGTAGGCAGAGTTCTAGTCGAATCTACGGGGTTGGAAATTGGAGTTGGAGCTTGCCTAGGCTCAACATTACGTGTTCTCTGACTTGTCCTATCTGATGAAGCTGCTAGGTGTCCCTGCCCAAAACGTGCCGGTTATGCAGAAGACGGTTGGAAATTTGGATAGTGCCAAGTCATTCGAAATCATTCACCGAACTATCACTGCCTTCTTGGGATTTGGGCTTCGTCAAGCATCCCCGAGTCCGCTTGAGGAGGTCACTTCGCAGTATCCGGAGGTATCGGTCTTTGCGCGAGGTGGATGAGACAAGGCTTCCGCGAATGGATAGCACATGCGACAGGTTCTGGATATGTTAACTGATGCAAGAGAGGAAGGAGATTGGGCAAGACCATGTATATTACAGGATCTAAGTAGAGGTTAAAATGAATGGAGTTGAACACAAAGGCACGATGGATGTTTCAAGTCTGACCCAGAGTAATCGGAAATATAGGTGCCTGATCGACGAGGTTGATAACTACACAGCATCATTGTTATGCCTTGAATCCTTTTTCTCCGCACAACTCTATTTCACAAATTTCATCTCTCAATATTCTTTTTTCCAAGCTTCTTTTTTCGGTCTTCTCATCAAAATTCTTCGACAGAATGTCTATTCTCGGATTCCCTGAACTTTTCATAGGTACAGAAGTTACCTTCACCACACCATCACTCCAAAAGTGGGTTATCGAGGAGAAACTGACTGAGGATGTCCAACAAATGACAAAGTGGGAACTTGATGGTGGCGCTGGGCCTCCCTTTGCCGTCTTCAAATATCTCTGCCATAGTGCGGAAGATAGCGCTAAGAAGGCGTTCATGCGAATCTATTTCCAGATTCCTATCGAAGGAACTGAGTACCAACGCCCTGAAGTTCGAAAAGGACAGGCCGCTCCGCCACGAAAACATCGAGAGCTAGACGTCCTGAAGGATCTGAAACTACGACAATGTCCCGTGGTCCCGAGTCTCCTTGCCTACAAAGAAGGAAAACAAGACAATGATGGCCTAGTTCCAGATGGATACATTGCACATATAGTGTGGGATAAGGTTCCCGGGAAGTCACTGAACCAGGATAAAGTCTGGGATCCTAAATCAGGTTCATTACGTGAGGCCATCCGTGCGAAGTTCCGCGATGTCTGGGAGTATGTTATAAACCCCTCTGCTACTAGTCGAGAGTAAAGCTAATAGACCCAAGGGAGCTAAGACAATATGGATGGGAGCCAGGCATGCCTGGACTAGAGAACATCATATACGATGAGGCTACACAGACGATGTATGTGGTATCTTCTACACACCTTGTGCCAAACAGATTAGGCTGACTATCCTTAGGCATATTGCGGGCTTCCGAGAATCCACCTCCCTTGACCCCGAAGAGAAATTTACTGACATGACCTTTGTCGGCTGGGGCTTGGCTATACCACCCAGGAAGGCCGGTTGGGAAAAGGACAGTACTAGGTGGGCTTGGTGATCAACGTGAATATCCATTGCTTTAGCTAAAGTGCACAATTTCAATGATTCTAATCTTTGCTGCAATTCTAGAAGGTCAAGCTGATTTTCATATGTACTTTGTCGTTCATTAGAAAGGGTGCCTGCTTAGCTTACATTGATGGGGACAAGCCATGTGACAGACTAGAAGAAGGACAGGGTAGGCACCGGGCTGAGTTGAACTTAGAGCTCGTAGGCATTTATACCGGATGACTTGAAACTGGAGTCTCTGTTCTTTTTCCTTCCCCGTCCCTTTCTCCACAACAACCTTCCAACACTCGAACTTGATCCCCTCACGTTGATTTCTCAGCACTGACTCCTCGTCGACTCCTCTGCGTTGATACCTCGACATTGACTTCTCCACATTGACTCCTCAACGCTGATCCTTCCACCTTGATTCCTTGACATTGACTCCTCGGCGCTGGCCCTTCCCTACGTGCTACAGTAAGCAACTCATACTGACTCGTAGTTTAGTATAGAGCGTTGAAAAACATGGCCACAAACCGCGTCCGTGCCAAACAGATAATTCAAGCTCCCCTCCCTTGAATGTGGGTACTTACAAGACCACATCTCCTGCACTAGCAAGCTGGAATATGGGGATGAACATGGCCTCCAAGGCCGTTTCCAACAGGCCATAGGCCAAGTACTTGGAGCGGCCTTGGAGACCCAGGCAGTAAACTTGTATTTTGCGGACTTTAAATGCTCCGGCCTAGACTACAAGAATGTTCCAGACGTCGTGGGATTAAATACCACCATTCAAGGCAGAGAGGAATTGCGGCTTGTAGGAGAACCAAAGGTTCCATGGATCGGTTCCTCACCATTCCCTCATCTACGCGTATGGCAACCCTCAACGGCAGAGGAATTTACTGAGTCAGCCCATCCTTTATATGGGCGACCTTCAGTGTGCATTTGGTTTCGTTAGCATATACGACGGAACCATTTTTCTCCAACAGGTTGAGCTGGCTAAAGGCCAATGGCTTGTGGAATATTCACCAGTGATCTATTCCACTGATTTGTACGAAGCATCTGGTTCTCAGGGTGGTCTCTATGTCTCTATGAGACAGTATATGTTTTACGTAGCCATGCTTGCGAGCGCGCAGGGGCACGTAAATAACCAAATCCCAGCAGCTCAATGGGTGGTTAGGGCTTGAATACGTGTGATTCAAAAGTAATGACAATCATTCAGTGTACATGCATCTTCCGTAAACGAACCATCTGATGGGTAAGCCACTCTAGCGGGCGGGCAGCAAATCGCAGGCTGTTGGCGCCGACATGCCGTTTCGACATGCCATTCCGACCAGAGGCCCTTGGTTTAGATGCCTTATACCGGTCTTGGGTATTGGTAGTGTCAGTCAAAGATAAGTCTCTAGGACTGCGTAACAACGAAGGCCTCTGACACATTCTCGTCGAGCATCTCTATATTACGTTCAGAAGTTCATTGCACTCACTCACTCATCAAACTACTTGCATTCTATGATTCTTCCCCACAGGTAACATGATACATACGACCATAGGGTGTGGAAAACAGGGCTTCCCGTCCGCTCAGCCGTACTTAAGCCACACGCCGGTGAGTTAGTAGTTGGGTGGGTGACCACCAGCGAATCCTCACTGTTGTATGTTTTTGTTTCTTTTTCGTTTCATTTTGGTTAAAGAGTGAGAGGCAGGACCTTGCGAGTGGTATGATATCATTGACGATCCTCTACCCAATGACTGTGCTTGTCGCATAGAAATTAGAAAGACTGAATATGTGTAATGTATTGAGGCCAGTCAAGCCACTGTGAACTGTGAAACCATTGAGTAGTCGAGTATCACCTCTCTAGTTTCCCAAATGCGCCGATTCTCATCACAAAGTATTACAATATTTCCTTGGCACTCTCTTTATATTCCTGTTCTTAAACCCTAAATTAACTCGGCCTCCATTCTGGTGTCAGTCGATCTCTTAAGTCCGTGATTAATGATAATCCTTTTTTGACTTCATATAACGTATTTTGACAGAAGGCTGGTGTACGAACAATGTATGGTATAGATGACCAATGTTGAAGACTCTAACGTATTCGGTAAGCGAGTGGTCCAGTCCGAAACACCTTAGTAAATGCGATAAATTACAACTTGATATCTTAACAACGGTAGTCTATATAGAGCTTTCCTTATAGTTAAATACTTTTTAGTTGATATCAAGCTTCTCTAGGGAGTTTAGAAAATATTTATGACTTTATGATTGCGCTATATTTAATTCTAGCTTTTAGTAAGGTAATTTTTGATACCGTGATAATATAGTTATTCGATTCTCTTAAAATTAATATATGGTGTTTGAAATCCTTATCAATAGCTATCGAGTGATAATAAAATCAAATAATAACGTGGTTGTTGCTATATGAGGCTGTAAAATATCGCATTTACTATGGTGTTTTGGGGTGGGCCACTCGGTAGTGAAACGTTAACTATTTCAACAATCTGTGCGGACCTCGATGACTAACTGTAATATGCACTTTTGTATGGTATGCCTGGTACCCAATGTCATATGATGTTTCCGGTATATTACCTGGTTTCTACCATGTATTCGGACTTAGTATTCGACAAATAGTCGTAGCCCTCTCCTGTGCCAAAAGTACCTTCTTTCTCTATTAGTTACTTAAGGCGGTTGCGCTAACTATCTCAGGCTGTGATTGGGATATATAATGCCAGAGTAATCTCATCCCCTCTTCACCACGCAACGTCCATAGTTAGTTATCTAGTTAGTTATCCTTTCCCACCGCTTCCACGACGTTACACATTCCCATCTCCATCTCCGTCTCATCTACCATGTCTGTTCCGCATGTTGCACCGTCGCATGGCGCCTATGGGAAACCCAAACAGAGAAAGGTGCGCAAAGGCACCCACAGTTGCTGGGAATGCAAGCGCCGGAAGATGAAATGTAGATTCGATCCGCGCATTGCGAGTACCTCCTGCAACAGCTGTCGACGACGCGGCTCCCCCTGTATCAGCCAGGAATTTCCCGAGGACCTCGAAAATATCCCCATGAGTATTGGAACCACCAGTGGTGATGGTACTTCCTTTGACGGCAGAACTCGCCCTGCCACACCTAGTGCAAGGACAGACCGTATTCTCACACCCGTGTCAACGATCATGGAGACTTCACTATACCATAAATCTCCTGAGGTCCGCCTCTTCCCGCTCTTCTTTCCAATATTCTATGATTGTTACTGACGGCTTTCCAGCAATATCTCCCGACCACCAGGAATGATACCTCACAACGTAAATATGAGAGGCTGTCTCAGTTCCTACATGAATTACTCCCGTCGCGCGCAGATACCGAGAGTATCTGCAAATCCAGTCGCCACTCTTCCATCCTCTCCCACGAATTGTTGACGACGCCATACACCACCCTCTACCAGAACGGCCTCCAAACGCCTGAGAGTTTACTGATGACCCCGCAACCAAATATGCATCCTGTCTTAATCGCGAGATACATGCTCCAGCTCGCCCTTTTCTTACAGCATCTTCCTCCAGATCTTCACAAGGAGATTAAAGGCCTGTCGAAACCACCCCGCGTCATCATGGAGCGCTTAGCAGATGTTGCCAACTACCACGTCACGACAAACGAGGCACTGATCGGCAGCATCGAGAGCCTCGAGTGCATCATGCTTGAGAGCTTATACCAGGTGAACATTGGGAACCTTCGACGAAGTTGGGTCGCGGGCCGCAGAGCGATGAGTCTCGCCCAGTTAATGGGGTTTCATCGACCAGATAACCAGACCCTATACCAGGCGCTCGACCCTACAACGAAAT